GGGGGGGGCAGCTCGCAGGGAGAGAGAGAGAGAGAGAGAGAGAGAGAAATGAGGGGTTTTCTGTTTTTTAATTAAAATCAAACTTCAACTTATTTACGATTATGCTACTAGTGGTGTTTTGCTCGTAACTTTCTCGTTACAACTCCGATTTAAGCCTACCGCATGTCTACGGACTCGTCTCAGTATGAACTACGTAAAGGTATAAGCCACTGGCCCGAAATCCTCCTGAATTAAAAATGACCAAATTACCCCTACTCCGAGGGCAAAATTGTAAATTCATAATTCTTAAAATTAATAAATCCACTAATCCTTTTTATTTTGGGTCGGGATGTTACAGGCTGCAACCACGACCTCTTGGGAGCTCCACCACTGCTTCCGCCATGGCAAGAGGCACGAGACAACTGATTACGGCAGCCAGGCCTCCCACCCTATTTTTGTTGTGTGTAAACAAGGTGGGTTTGGGCCCTTTTGGAAGCTATCAGCCTAAAATCTCAAAATTGATTGGGCCATTGGGCTTTCTATATAATTGAGCATGAATAACTTAATCTTTTTTATTATAAAAAACAAAGAATAACTAAGGCTTGTTTGGTATCCTACTCAAAAAAGTAAACTAAAAAACGATGATTCTTTTTAAAAACATGAATTTTCAAATAGTGATTTTAAGATCTAAAAACTTGTTATGTATTGAACTCCAAACTATTCTTAAAATCAGGAAATTGGAAACCCTAATCCCCAAATTGAAATTAACAAAAGAAATGGAAAAAGATGTGAGGCATAAACCCTATCAATTTTGGTGTTGGATGAGTTGGATGAGTTTAGAGATGCAAGAGGTTGACACTTTGTAGAAGAAGAAGAACCAGCTTATTTCCAACCAGGTAATCTTCAGCCACTTAGTGGGTAACACGTGTGTTATACTAAACGGGTGCTGACAGCGTCACGCGTAGGCAATTTCAAACCAGCCTAACCTCATCAGACGTCCTACACTGTTGATCAAGCTTACTATTATATTATCAAACATTTAATCGATCACATGCTTTTCTAAGCTACGTTGTACAATTAAAATTGGTGCATGTGATTGTAGAGAAAAGATGCCAGGGATTGATTTTGATTTGGGCTGGGAACGACCCACGAGAATCGAACCAGAAAATTGAATGGTTAATAAGTGGATGACTTGATGGTGAAGCAAGTCAACTCGATGGTCGGTGATGATTTTATAGATCTATGGCACGCAATTGTTACACTTCAACATGCAATTTCTTTGCCTATTTTACCCTTTATTATTAGTAGTAGATAAGTTGACCCAAAAGAACAGTTAAGTATTGGGCCTCTTTTTGATCAAAAAGTATTGGGCCTCCCACGTTTTAATGATTGCACTCCATCTCCATCTGAGTGGAGGGCCTAGAAAGGGTATTGTCCATGATGAAAAATTCAAGTACTACCTCCACAAAATCATAAAAATATAATACACACATGAGGGTTCGAACTTGAGATCACTAGTTTGCAAGTCAAGGTCATTTTTCACTAGGCTAGATCCCATTAGACATAAAAATAATTTTAAAAATAAATTATTTTGGGCACCAAACTCTAGGTAAATAATTGAATATTTGAAAATTAAATTGCCGGATATATAACTTGTATGTTTAAAAAAATATATAATTTTTTAATAATAAATGCAATTTAACTCTAAATATGAAATTCGTACAATTATTTAGTTTATCACATTGAGTCTCATCATCATTCAACCTTTCATGAAATCCGTATATGAGTATTGAAAGAAAAATAAAAGGTTTGAA